TGACTCAAATAGTGGCGGCCGCAATGAGGAAAGGAGCCAAGCACCGCCGCCAGAGGCCCCTTTCGGCCGGCCAGCGCTCACCCGAGGGTTAGCGTGCCGTCGTCGAGCGTTCCTATGGCGATGCCCTATCCAGAGCTCGAGTGCGCGACGACGAGCGGCGACGGCTTTCTTCTCGCGTGCCAGCAAGGCGGCGGTGGGTGCTTCTTCCCGCGCGACCGAGATGTCTACGGTGCGGGTAAGACCAGATAGGTTCCTCCCCCTCTCCTTGCCCCACCTCGCATTAGGGTTAGGGTTAGGATTTGTGTTTCTTCCGAATAAAAATTCGTTTCACCTCCTTCTATATTCTTCCCTAAACTAGATCTACACACTAGTGTAGGCACTCCGATACCATTGTTAGAAATATAGGATCATTAGAAGCAGATCTAGCGGGTGGAAACTTCACTAATCATGGCAAAAACAAGTAGATTATCCTAGTACATGAACTAGAGAGGAAGAAGAAAGAAGAAGAGAAGTAGATGGGTCTACCGTCCTGCTTGGAGGTGAATGAAGCCATGGAGTCAGTGACGAGGTCGACGCTAGGGTGAGTGGCTCCGGTGAAGGCGCTGAGGTGCTCATCCCGACGGCGTATATCCAGTGATGAGGGCGGTGGTGCTGGCAATGATGTTTCTTGTCGCTGTCAGCGCTGCCCTCTTGATCAGACTAGGGTTAGGATGTCGGTGGGGAGTTAGCGGCTGCGGTGAACCTCGTACCCAGTGTGAAAGCTCTAGTTTGGTTTTAGAGAATTGATGAAACCCTAAGTGCTAACCTAGTTTATCAAGTGATCATGAGATAGGTAGCACACTCCAAGTGGTGAAGCAAATGAAGATCATTGCATGATGAAGATGATGCCATGGTGATGATCAAGTGCTCGGACTTGAAAGAAGAAAGAGAAAACAAAGAGTTCCTCCCAAAGGTATAACCATATGAGCTATTTTGTTTTGGTGATCAAGTTAGAGAGTGTGATCACATTTAGGTTTGTGTTTATTAAGAGGGTGAAAAAATGCGTTTCAGTGTCACTAGATGCTCTAACTCATTGTATATTCATTTCCCGAAACTAGATCTACACACTGAAAATGTTTAGAAAATATGCTAACACATGTGCACAAGGTGATACCATTGGCACATTTGAGAAATATAGGATCAAAAGGAGTTAGTGATCTGGCGGTGGAAACTTCACTAATCATGGCAAAAACAAGTAGATTATAGATAGTACATGAACTGAGAGGAAGAAGAAATGGAAGAGAGCCGGACGCTAAAGGGTCAGGTCCGGCCGTGTTGTTCAGCGGCACAATAAGAAGTTGGAGGTGTGATGGAGCCATGGAGTCGGTCAAGCATGATGAGACATGTCCGGCCGGTCGAAAATTTATTTGAAACCCGAGGTGAGTGGGCGGAGGCTCGAGTCCTGGTGGAAGGCATGGAGGCGTCCGGTCAACAGATGACCGTTGAGATCAGACGACTATCCGATGATGACACGTGGATGGGGTGGCCGCTGGGTCGAGTTCTCAATATGATCGAGCATCCGGTCACCCCGATGTGCCAGTGAAGAGGTACAACGGCTCTATTTCGTGGGGATTCTATTTAAGCCTCATGGGGAGCTCACTCTCTTGGCCATTTGCATTGACATAGCAACCTTGTGAGCTTAGCCAAAGCACTCCCACTCATCTCCATCATTGATTCATCATCTTTGTGAGATTGGGAGAGAATCCAGTGCATTGCTTGCTTGAGTGTTTGCATCTAGAGGTACTTGGTGTTCGTGCACTGGTTTCGCTTGGCCCCACCAAGGATGGTCGAGTTGAGGGTGGTGATTCTCGCCCGATCGTGGTGATTGTGAGGGGTTCTTGACCTTTCCGGGTGGATCAAAATGTACTCTAGTGGATTTGTTCGTGGCTTGTGTGATCCTCATCTTGTGTTGGTTGTGGCACCCTATTGAGGGTTTGGTGTGAGCCAATCGTGAACCTCCAAGTGAGTGAATTGCCACAACGAGGACTAGCTTGTCTTGACAAGCAAGTGAACCTCGGTAAAAAATCATTGTGTTCATCATTAATTCCGAGTTGATTGGTCTTCATTGTTATCCACACTTGTGATTGATCAAGTAAGCATCCGGCGGTATAACCTTCTTGCCTACTTTACATTTTACATTATCAAGAAACTAGTTGTCAAGCTCTTTAGTGTAACTTCAGTTGTGAGAGCTTGTTAGTTTGAAGAATCTTTAGTTAGCTTTTTGAGAGCACATAACTAACTTAGTGTAGTGATATAGCTATTGTGTGAATATACTCCATCTAAACTAGAATTGTGGTAGGTGGCTTGCATTTTGGTAAGCTAGCAAGAAAACTCGTTTGGCTCCTAATTGTCTAATCCTTTGTTAAGTGTTGTTGTAGAAATCTTATTAGGCTATTCACCCCCTCTAGCCATTAGGACCTTTCACAGCTGCCCCTGCCCCCCCACCTTCCTCTTTATCCAAGTACGGGGGCCCACCAAAGGTTGGGTTGGGCCTCCATCAGGACACGGATCAAAGACCTAAATTGACCGTTGAACCAACTTGGTGGAGATCAATCTAACGAGACACTCTCTTGAGTGTCTTTGTTTTAGGAGGGGGGGGGGGTGTTTGAATTTGACTACCCCACTCAAGCGATCAAGTAAGCATCCAAAAGCCGAGTGGACAGTGATCTGTTAGGCAGATCATATATATATATATATATATATATATACACACACACACACTTAGTCTTCATTTGCTTATCGGAGAATGCACCCATCACCGCATCCAATTATCGAAGGTTCCGAGGGCCTTTGTCTCAATGCAACTGTGCCAGCATCAAAGCATGGTCCCGGCATTTGCTGCTCGGCCGACACTCCCTCGAGTAACCCTGTTTTCATCTGATAAGGTTATGCCACTCAATCGCTTCATATCTAATAATATCACCTACTCCCTCTATTTTAAATTATAAATCGTTCTAGGCTTTTTAAATATATAGTCAAAATTATTTAGACGTAATATATATCTAGATACATAGCAAGAGATATATAGAAAAAAAAAAAGATCGACTTATAATTGAGAAAAAAGAGAGAGTAAAAGATATTTTTCGTGTTTCATCTTTCACCGTCTCGTTTTTTGGAAGATCTTTCACTGTCTCTGATTTGTATCTCTGGCTAAATTCGTCTAGAATATCTTTTTAAAAAACCTCCATCCAAATTTCAAATAGAGAGGCCCGCTCGGCTAAACCTAAATTAAATCTAGAATATCTTTTTAATGTTGTTTTTCTCCTCCATTCCAAATTTCAAATAAGAGCCTAGAGTCACACGTGATGAGGCATGCGGAGTGTGGAATCGTGTTGTCCATTGCTATATAGTCAACAAATGTTGAACAGTGCACAAAGATGGCGTTAGAGGAGGACCTTTTTTTTCTTAAGGAAACTATAGCAATCTAGTTAGGTTGACTGAACTTTATTAGGAGCATTTCTCCCCTCCACTAATTTATCTGAAAAATCCTAGACATCAAATGAGAAGACGAGGGAGTGTATGATGAGAACACAGTGCTTATAAAACGACAAGTAAATCTTGTTAAGGAATTTACATGACAGGGGTCTAGAGTAAAGGATAAAAGGCAAATGATTACAAGCAAAAACTAAGAAATGAAGAGAGGGGAAAGGAGGGAGGGGGTCAATGAGGTTATCCTTGTCTCTCGGGGCATCACATTTATGAGCCCAAACTACATAGTCACGAGACTTTGAAATTTTGGTTTGCAGGAGAAAACCTCGGGGTTGCTGTAAAATATTAGGAGAACTTTAGAGTTAAATCAGAGCCATCATTTTGCTACAAGTTAGTCAGATGAACATGACACAACTACTAGTTGGTAACACTTTTTTGGCACTTAAGGAGTAGATGAGAACAATGTTCTTGGCACTTTTTTTGCTACAAGTTAGTCATATTACAATGAAATCGACGAGCATTTGTGACATGAGGAATTATGAATTGCCATTTTGAATTTGAAACATTGTAAAATTCAAATAAGTTTAACATCTCAACTTTGGCTACAAGTTTAGTCAGATTTATAGAAAATGGTCACGTTTTGTGACATGAAAAATTATGAATTGCCATGTTTTGAATTTGAAACATTGAGAAAAATTCAAATAATTGAAAAAAACATCTCAAAAGAGGAGTTATAAGAGATTTATAGAAAATATTATCAACATTTGCATATTCTAATACATTTTTATGAAAAATATATCTCATTATAAAAAACAATACATATTAACACATCATACAAATATTAGTTCTCCTTTATATATTTGATCGAACTTAAAGAATAGTTGACTCCTTGAAACTTTGGGATGTGTAGTTATTTATAGGAGAAAAATGAACTAGGTAGCCCTAATGTAGACTGTAGAGTGGCCGGTTAGGCAACCAGTTTCGTCACATCCATAATTCTACTACCTCTATATATTGAATTCTGAAACCCTAGGAAAGCAAAATTGCTGCAACAAACAACAAGATAAAAATCTCACCCACCATTGGACCCCTCAAGAACACGCCAAGAGTAAACAACTCGATTTCCATCCCCACCAGCACGGACCCGGCGGTGGCGGTGGCCGGTGGCCTCACCACCACCCCCAGCAGCAGCCAGCAGGTGCAGACGCGCAGGTGAGGTGCGGCCCGGCCGAAGATTTGGCGCACGCACACTCGGTCCAGTCCCCAGTGGCTGCAGCACTGCCCGACGAGGAATTTTCACGCGCACGCCGCACAGCACTCTCCCTCCCGTCCTCTCCACTGCACACGAGACGCGCTCGGCTCGGCGCACCACCACCCCGGACGGAGTGGGCGAGTCCCTCCCAGCCCGGATATAAATCGACGCCGCGAGGGGGACGAGCCCCGGACCCATAATTAACCAGGGCCAGGCGCACCGCACCACCGATCCATCCCCCCGGCCTCCCTCCCTCCGGCGAGCGGCGGCGCGGGCGGCCATGGAGGTGTTCTACTACGTCGTGTTCGGCGCGCTGGCCGCCGTCGTGGCGGGGCTCGAGCTCGGCAAGAGCGGCAAGGACCGCGTCGCCACCACCTCCGCCTTCAACTCCTTCAAGAACAACTACGTCCTCGTCTACTCCCTCATGATGTGTACGCCCCCTCGTTCCGTCCTTCCCTTGTTTAGATCTGCGAATGCTGTTGTGGTTCTGATGGTTGCTTGTTGCCCTTGCCTCGAATGGGATGTGATGGCATGGGATGGATTCGTGCAGCCGGGGACTGGCTGCAGGGCCCCTACGTGTACTACCTCTACAGCCAGTACGGCTTCGACAAGGGCGACATCGGCCGCCTCTTCATCGCCGGCTTCGGATCCTCCATGCTCTTCGGCACCATCGTCGGCTCCCTCGCCGACAAACAGTACGCCCGCCCGCCCGCCTCCCCCGCGATTCCTTTTCCCTATTCCAATCCCAATCCAATGTGGCTTGGCTTCTCACTGACGAATCGCTTGTGGTGTGCCTCCTCTAGGGGCCGCAAGAGGGCCTGCATCACCTACTGCATCAGCTACATACTCAGCTGCATCACCAAGCACTCCCCCGAGTACAGGGTCCTCATGATCGGCCGCATCCTCGGGGGCATCGCCACCTCCCTACTCTTCTCCGCTTTCGAGTCGTGGCTCGTCGCCGAGCACAACAAGGTAACCCATTGCCATTGCCTTGCCAGTTGCCCCCCCAGATCTGCCTATCACTGTCTGTTTGTCTCCATCACTGAATTACCGCTGCTGTCTCCATCACTGAATTACTGCTACTTTAGAGCTGCTCTGCCTTTGCCGTTAATCCTAAGGTTTTCTTTGTCAGCGCCTTTATCCGGAAGCCACGTCGTAGAAGCTGCATAGAGTATGCATATTTGGAATGTGTTGCTCTTAAGTAATGCCTTTTCCTAATCCTTGTCGTTAATAAATTACTAGAGTGGGAGCACCGTTTAGATTAGATTCATTCATCACATGCTTGTCGTTGAAGCCAGCTAAGTGTATTGGATCTTGGATGTTTGACTGCTAAATGCAATAGGGCACTTATATAATGAGCTGACTGACGTACGATTTAAAAAAAAAGAACATTGAACTGACGTGGCAGCATGATTGTTTGAAGTTTTAAGAACAAACAAATGTCCATGTTATGTTTGACTGCTAATAAGCCCAGTAAAATGTGGCTTTGTCATGATCTGAAAAGAATGAGGAAAATCTTGCTGGATTCAAGCTGAAAGGCACCATGTTATGTTTTGTTTGATTTCTGCTACTTGTGTCGGTGGATTAGGTGGTTGACACCTGACGTGGCCAGAGGACGAGCATTTAACAAGCATGGCCCAGTCTTAATAAAGCCATCACGGATGGTCTTATTGAGAATTGTCCTTTTATTCGGCCATGTCCTGGCGGCATTAGTCTCATTCGCAGACCATAATAATTATCAATAGAATCCAAGGATCTAGTGCATTAGCTGCTGCCTGTGATACAAAATGCCATGCTCTTCCACTTGCGGCAAAAGCTTTATTAATACCACATGATCTTGCATTTGTGAATTCTGGGGCTGGACACATTGCACCTTGTTGGTTTGTACAGAGACTGAATGTTTGCCTTTTTTTTTAACACAAACTGGGGGGAGGGCCCTACTGAATCTGAATATTTACCTTTCTTTTCTCTTTTACAGAGAGGCTTTGACCCGCAGTGGCTGTCCATAACATTCTCCAAAGCCATCTTCCTTGGGAATGGCTTAATTGCCATTGTATCTGGGCTATTCGCGAACCTTCTTGCTGAGAACTTGGGTTTTGGTCCTGTGGCTCCATTTGATGCGGCTGCATGCTTTCTGGCGATTGGCATGGCTATCATAATGTCCTCATGGAGTGAAAACTATGGAGATCCATCTGAAAGTAAGGACCTGATGGCCCAATTCAAGGTTGCAGCTAAGGCAATTGCTTCAGGTATGCTTAACCCACCTCATCAGATTGCAGAGAACCAAATATGCATATGAAACCATTCTAACATTGTCCACTGAATCTTCAGATGAAAAGATTGCATTGCTGGGAGCCATACAGTCATTGTTTGAGGGTTCAATGTACACATTTGTCTTCCTATGGACTCCAGCATTGAGTCCAAACGAAGAAGACATTCCTCATGGTTTTATTTTTGCTACGTTCATGCTGTCATCCATGTTGGGTAGCTCCATTGCGTCGCGTCTATTAGCCCGAAAGCTCAAGGTGGAAGGTTATATGCAGATTGTGTTCTCGATATCGGCTGTCACCCTTGTCCTCCCAGTTGTCACCAATGTAAGAACTTGTCAGTCACTACTCCTTGGGTATTCTCTGCCTTTGAAACGTTGCTAATGTCTATTTGCTGATAATGTCCAAACAGATCCTAGTGCCGACATCTTCTGTGAAAGGAGGCAGCACATCAGTTGGAGGTTCTCTTCAGCTTCTTGGTTTCTGCACCTTCGAGGCATGTGTTGGCATATTCTGGCCATCAATCATGAAGATGAGATCTCAGTACATTCCTGAGGAAGCAAGAAGCACAATCATGAATTTCTTCCGCATACCACTCAACTTGTTTGTTTGTGTAGTGCTTTACAATGTAAGGAGTCATTTCCTCGTCCAACTATTATAATCTCTTCAATTGTGCTGGCAAGAATTGTACAGAAATGTCAGCACACAAGTAACACTTTGCCTGTGGACATTGTCTTTGCAGGTGAATGCATTCCCAATCACTGTCATGTTTGGGATGTGTTCTATCTTCCTCTTCATGGCAGCAATCTTGCAGAGACGGCTGATGGTTGTCTCTGATCTACACAAATCATCAACTAGTATGTGATATTCTGATTCTCTTTCTCTATTCCAGCAATCCTGTGCCTATGAAGGCTTAAATTGTTATCTCTGATAAACTCAGATGTCCTAGTTCATTTTTCATTGCTAACCATAGGGTAACATTCCTTGCAGAAACACAAGAAATGATCGAGGAAGATGAGCCACTAAATCCTTAGGTGTCGACAGAATCATACGTTCAAATCAGATATGAAGAAGGCATCCATACTGCAATTCATTTCCACCTGCGCAATAAGATGGACGTCAGAACCATGTAGTAGAGTCCAGTTGTTTTTGTTTGTAATTTCGTTTCTGTAGTGTAGATGTGACCAGGCTGTTAGTTTGGACCTCGGATCTGCTTATATCCACAGGGCAATTTATAGTTCAGCAAGTATTGAGCTATACCTATGTCCCGAGAAGATTAGATGAGTTGGCGAATTGATATGGGCTTTTCGCATTGTTGCTTCTTGCAATTATTTTTAAAAATTATTCACTCTACAGTTTAAACGATACGGTATATATATTCTTGAAAGCATTATATTACTGCATTTTATGACAATTCTGGCTGATGTACATATAGCATGACAAAAGTGTGTTGTGAACCAGTGTGCGTATCTTTGAATTGCTTACTTTATGGCCGTTGCTCTGATGACTGATGACAATTCTGGTGCTGTTAGTGTTGCGGGCTCTCTCTACTTGGTCGCCGCTTATGGCCGTTTCTCCCTCGCCCTTACTTGTGGTTGGTTAGTCCTCCGTCTGGTGAGAGGAGGTTTCTAGTCGTAGCCTTTTAGTTTGCTTCTCTTGATTTTGTGGGTTGCTCATACTCCCTCCGTTGCATAACAAGTGTTGTTTTAGCTCTAGGCACGGGGATTAAAGAAAGATGAAAAAATTGTGGTGCACCATAGGAATCGAGAAGGAAAGAGATAGAGATAGGGTGTCGCATAACAAGTGGTGTTTAGCTCTAGGCACGGGGATTATCGATTGAAGAAAGATCAAAAAGGTGTGGTTGAAGAAAGATGAAAAAGGTGTGGTGTACCACAGGAAACGAAAAGGTAGAGAGAGATATTATATATTGGAAGAAGAGAAATATGCATTAAGAAATGAGAATGTCATCTATTTCGGGACAAGTATAGAAAGCTAAAAACGATTATTTTGGGACAGCAGCAGTAGTTATGGTTTTGTTTTCTGAGATTTGCTTTGGGAACTATTGCCTTTTTATGAAAAACGGGCTCCACATATTCTATGAAAAAGTTGTGTACTCCGATTGGTCTGTGTAAGAACTATTGCCTTTTTATGAAAAACGGGCTCCACATATTCTATGAAAAAGTTGTGTACTCCGATGCATCTGGAGTGTATAGACCACGGATTTAAGTCAAGATAGCTATTTCACAGGATATGGTAATTTTGCTCTGATTATTCGTTTGCAATAGGCATCTCAAAAAAAATTATTTTGTGACGACATGGCTCCAATTACAAGAATCATGATGCTCTCCATCACAGTTTCAAAGCTGCCTAGTCTAGTTGTCAAAAAAGTTGACTAGGCGCAATGGTTGTGACGACATGGCTCCAATTACAAGAATCATGATGCTCTCCATCACTGATGCTATCGCTCATTTCAGTTTTATATGCATCAAGTACTAATTGGGGACCCCGAAAGTTGGAACTGCAAAGAAACGAAGACAGGCATGGGCAGTCACATAGTGTTCAATTGCAACTTTGCAAGCAGTAGATACCTGCAGATGCAGCAGCCATACAACATGAACAGTGTTTCGGTAGGCATGGGGTGATGGACAAATCAAACCACTGAACAAGAAAGATCCTTTAAACATTGGTGCAGAGACTCAAGGAAAAAGCTCATATGCAACAGCACCCCACAACTCAATTCCACCCCGATGGGTTTCTCATACTGAAGCAAGACACAGATACTGATAAATCATATGAAAATCACACCACTGTTATATCATATTCAGACCAATCAGGATATGCGACTATTTGCAAATAAAGCTCATACACAACAGCACCTCAGAACTCAAGTCCAACCCAATGGGTTTCTCAATCTGAAGCAAGATCCAGATACTGATAAAATCATATGAAAATCACACCGCTATTTTATCATAATTCAGACCATGAGGATACACGACTGTGTGCAAATAAAGCTCATATGCTGCACCTCACAAGTCACAACTCAAGTCCAACACAACGGGTTTCTCAAACTGAAGCAAGACCCAGATACTGGTAAATCATATCAAAACCACATCACTGTTTTATCATATTCAGACCATCAGGATACACAGCTTTATTTGCAAGTCCAACAAGAATGGCCAGGATCCAAAATGAATAATAAAAGATCATATTTATCAATATAATTCAATATGAATCACTTTTATCTTGCGACCGGTATGTTGTAAAACCATATGAACACCACATCACTGTTTATCATATTCAGAGCACCAGGATACACCAAGGCTGTATGCACAAGTCCAACTAGAAAGGTCAGGATACAAAATGAAGATCATATTTATCAATATGATTCACTTCTGAATGACATCCTGTGACTGGGATATTATAAAACTGTATGAACATCACATCACTGTTTATCATATTCAGAGCACCGGGATACACCAAGGCTGTATGCGCAAGTCCAACTAGAAAGGTCAGGATGAAAATGAAGATCATATTTATCAATGTGAATCACTTCTGGATGATATCCTATGATCGGAATGTTATTGTGCTACATACAGTCAACAAATTACTATTCTCTCTGTTCCCAAATGTGGGTTTTTTTAGTTCTGTCTTAAGCCAAACTTCTATAACTCTGACCAAGTTTTCAGAAAAATATATTAACACCCACAATATCAGATAAATTCACCATCAAGGCATTTAAAGTTGGATCTAACGAAATTATTTGACGTTGTAGATGTCAGCACATGTTTCTACAAAAACTCGTTCAGAGTTAGAGAACTTTCACTTAGAACAAAAGTAAAATGACCGATTTTTGGATCAGAGGTAGTACCAAACTATGCATGAACTCAAGAAGTACAACATCTGTCTTCTAAAACATTTCACTGACAGATCAAAACATGCCTTTTTTCACATACAACCGGCAGGCGAAGAATTTCATATTTAGAGATAGGAAAACAGCGACAATCTAGCAAAACTACACTACACTCAACATTACATTTCACAATGTCATGGGTTATCCAGCATAATGCAATAAGCAGTATTATTGTGTCGATACCAGCTAGCAGCTAATGTTACATTGGAAGGCAGACCAAAAATTTCGTGATCCGATGAGATCAGACCGTTGACATATATAGTACCAGCATATGGCTGTCAACAATATATAGGAATGTTGAGAAGAACATGACTCTTCCCAAATAATTAACGAAAACGAAGAAATGACATCCACGCGACGAATTGATTTTGACTTTGATCACGGCAGGGCAGGGAGAGTACCGCAACAGATTCAGAGGGCGGGGACGTATCTCTTCCCAACCTGCTTGGCAGCCGCGGCGGCGCCAGCAAGAACCCCACCGACAGCCCCGGCGACGACTGCCGAGCGCGGCCCGTTAGCGGCGCGGAAAAGCGCGCCGGTGCCGAGCCCGGCCACGACGCTGTTGATCCAGTCGTCGCGGTCGCGTGCGGCGACCATGGCGCTCTCGATCCCGGCGTACATGAGGCCGATGACCCCGAGCGTGTTGCCGACGCGGCGCCCCGAGCTGCCGCAGGAGTTGAGGACGCGGTTGGCCCGGATCTTGGCGGGCTCCCCGGGCTCGGCGCCGCGGGCGGCGTCGCGGAGCCCCAGCGCGGCCCCGGCCACGGCGCCGCCGAGGTAGCCGACGCCCGTGTAGTAGGTGAGGTTCTCGCCCCAGGAACGGCGCTGCGCGACGGCCTCCTCCTGGAAAAGGAACTCCGGGGAGGTGGGAAGGTCGTAGAGCTGCCGGTAGGGGAGGTTGAGGTCCTGGTACGGGTTGTAGAGGCGACGCTCGGAGCCGGGGTAGGCGGCGTCGCGGCGGTCGTCGGACCCGGACCCCGTGGGATACAGCCGCGGGTCGGCCATAGCGGGATCCGGCGGCGGCGGCGGCGGCGTGGGAGGCAAGAAAATGAGGAGGGAGGGTTCGGATCGCGCACGGCACGGCAGCTTGGCCGCGCCGCGTATATTCGGTGCGGGTTATATTTGCGAAGAGGTCCCCCGTCGCGTCTGATATTTTTGGCGCCGCCGACCAACCCCTTGGACGAAGGGTCGAGACTATGGGCCGGGCTTTCCGAAGTTTGGAGGCCTGCGTCTGAGCGAGGACGAGGATGCCCGCCGGTGTCTGACGGACAAAGAGAAAATTCGATCCGTAGAAAAATTGAAAATCTCTTCACAAGAAGGCAAACAGTCCTAGTTTTAGTGTATACTCCCTCTTCCAAATTATAAGTGTTTTTGGATTTTTAGATCCATAGCTTTTGTTGTACATGATACACTATGTCTAGATATAAGCAATATATATTTAAAAAAAATCAAAACATCTTATAATTGGAAAGGGGGAGTAGAAAATATTATCAACATTTTTATCTTCAAATAGGTTCATTATGAAAATATATTTCATAATTAATCCAACGATACTTATTACATCTCATAAATATTAGTAATTTATATATTTGGTTAAACTTAAAAATATTCGATAAATGAGACTTCTAATCCATGGACCATTGAACACATAAAACTTTCGTAAGTTTGTCTAGTTTTATAGAAAATATTAGCAACATTTGTATATCAAAATAAGTTTATTATGAAAATAGATTCAACTATGTATCTAATAATACTAATTATGTACTATAAATATTTATATTTTCTTTATATATTTGGTCAAAGTTAAAAACGTTTAAACCCTTCGGGAAGCGAGAATTACAGTTATTGGAGTTGTTCGGCCGATGGTTTCTACCACCGACAAGCTGACTGACGTTGATTTGTTGTGAGAGAAAAACACCACGGTTTAAACGGACGGGGCGATTTTGGGACACACTCTTTAAGACGTTCAAGGTCTGTGTATGAGCAGCAGAGTGAATGAATCTGTCGGTGTTTCGGACCGGGGGTCCTCTACCAACTAGTGAATTTGAACTGCGTGTCCCTAATCTTGGATGGTGATGCAAAGAGACATAAGGTTTATACTGGTTCAGCCAATCGATGTCCTACGTCCAGTCTAAGAGATCGATCTTGTATTCCTTGCACCGAAGTGCTAGTAGTAGGGGGTTATAAGCACAGGGAGAGAGGGAGCTAATCCTGTGTCTCGGCGAGGTGTCGTGTGGGTCTGCTTGAGACGTTGCTCTCGGCGGCTGGGGATGTGTATGTGTGTGAGCTACGGTGTTCTTCCTATTTCTCCTTTTTCGCCCCCTAGAGCTATCCCTCGGTCGCTCCCTTTTATAACCGCAAGGAGGGAGCCAGGAGTACATGAGTGAGCTATACGGAGCATATCTGTAGTTCAAATCCTATAAGCAAACATGGTGTTGGGGATGGCGATTGATACTTGATCGGGCGCGTCTGGTTGGCTGTGCCCGAGGTTGTGGGAGTCCTTGTTGGCGTCTAGTCAAGATGGCTTCCACCGTAGGGAGACATGTCGTGCCTTGTGTGTTCTTGACTTGGTGGAGTGCCGAGGCTCGACGGTGTCAGAGGTGATCGTGCCGAGGCTTGCTTTGCCGAGGCCTCGGAGGTGACCCGTATGTATGATGCGGGGTCTCGGTGGTCGTCGTGCCGGTTGCTCAGTGGAGAAGTGCGGGGCGTGTGTCCCTGGCATGGCATGGCCCCCGCACCGTCGAGAGGGGATGGTAAAAGGAGATTTGACCGTTGTCCCATCGCCCATGTTGTGTACCACATCGTCAATCGTGGGTCGACGTAGTAGGTGTGACCAAAGCACTTAAACGGATGTGACGGCTCGCCAGAGGGACGGTTGAGGCGAGGCGACGAGGATGCGGGACGAGCCGAGCCTCGGCCGAGGCGGAGAAGGAATAGTACGTCCGAGGGCCTCGCCGGGGTCGGGGGTCTTGACGAGGTGAGGACGAACGGTTGGTCTTTCATGCTGATTCCGAGACTATTGGGACCCGGACTTGACCCTCCACGCCACTTTGTCCTTGGCGTAGGAGTTAGGTAGCACATGGCGACTGGGTGTCGTTAGGGGGGCATGATGATGAGCACAGATGGTAGGTAACCCTCGCCGCGCCCGATCCCCTCGTCCCGTCGGTCATTCTCGCTTCAGATTGTGCCAACGCGGTGGCCGACGCTATGGGAGTAATGGGGCGTATTGACTGGACGTGGTGTTTTGTCAGGGGAGTCGGTCGGGACGGAGGTGACGAGGTTGTTGCCGAGCCCAGCCTCGGGTGAATCGGAGAATTAGTATCCCATCCGAGGCATTGCAGGGCAGGGCCTCGGCGAGGGGGCCTCGGCGAGAGGGCCTCGGCTGGGCGGAGGGCTTTGGCCTTTCGTCTGAGGCCTCGGCGCAAGCCTTGGGCGAGTCGGAGAATCTGCCGAGACCTCGTGGTTGTCCTTTGGCTTTGATTTTTGCAAGGCTTAAGCAATATTTTCGGTTCTTGCTTAGGGTACCCCTTCTTGTGGTATCCGACAGTAGCCCCCGAGCCTCGGGAGGAGTGCGGCACTCTCCCGAGGTTTTGACGAGACTTGGCTCCGAGCAGCTCCCCGTCGGGATTGTGTTTTGTACTTGGTGGTTCCGGTGGGTGCTGCTGAAGCGCTCTGGCCGGTGTAGTTTTCGAGGCCCCGGAGGAGTGGAGTTACTCCTCCAGGGGCTTTTTTTTTCATTTTCGTTTGAGCAAGGAGTTTTTATCGATTTGCCGAGCCCACAAGCGCAAGTTCGGGTTAAGGGGTCTCGGCGAGGCTGCAGGAAAAGCCCTCTAGCCTCCGCACGGAGCGAGAGGTCTGTCAGGGATCCCCCTGACTTTGGGTACGACCCTCACGCTTCCTTTTCGCTCGAAAGGAGGGGTGGAATGTGCCAGGCTACCCTCGATGGGCACGAGCGTGGGCACTTCCGGTGAGCTGTTATCGGGTAGTCCGAGTGGAGGCCCGAACCCCATTCGCTAAGGGTCGGCTAGCGGTCCGGAGACGCACTCCAAGAGTACTAGAGGGTTTCTCTAGTGGGTGCCGAGGCCGTTCGCTGGGCCTCGGTGGCTCGATGCCTCCCTACGGTGGGATCCCATTCGGAGACTTTCCTGCCGGTCTCGGACACGACTTAGGACGCCCCGAGCGATCGAGCGATCGTTCGCTCGGGCCTCAGCCATTCGTAGGCTTGCCCCAAGGTCGTCCCTAACTCTGTTGCCCTGGGGCGACTGTCGAAACCTCTGGAGGCCCAGCCTTCGAACCCCTGGACCATAACGGGCTCGGTGCCCTTTATCGTATTTGTAACGGAACTTCTAGCGTGGACTTAGACCGTTTGTCTTTGTCTTGGGCGCAGGAGGAGCCCCCGAGCCTCCGCTAGGAGCAGGAGGGCGGTCAGGGGTCCCCTGGCTTTTTCATCTGACCCTCACATGTCCTTTTCGTTTGGACGGAGGGTTTGTTTGACGAGCCCATTCTGGTGCGAGCCGGAGCCGCTGGTCTCGGCAAGGTTGCATTAAGAGCCCCTAGCCTCTACGCGGAGCGAGAGGGCCGTCGGGAGTTCCCCTGGCTTTTTATACGCCCCTCGTGTGTGAGGGTTTGTTTGCCGAGGCCTCTTTGGGCGCCAGCCTAGGTCGTGGGGTCTCGGCAGATCTCTGCAGGAAGAGCCCTAGCCTCACACAGGCAGAGAGGGCCGCCGGGAGCTCCCCTTTCTTTTTTTGTACGACTCTCACGCTTCCTTTTTGCTCGGAAGGAGGGTTTGTTTTGCCGAGCCCCTTTGAGTGCGAGCGGCGGGGTCGCTGGGTCTCTCAAGAAGGTTGCGTGAAGAGCCCCTTAGCCCTCAGATAGAGCGAGAAGGCCGTTAGGGGTTCCCCGACTTTTTTGTACGACCCTCATGCTTCCTTTTCGCTCGGAAGGAGGGGTGGAATGTGCCACGCTACCCTCGGTGAGCACGAGCGGTGGCACCTCCGGTGAGTCTGCTGGTAGTCCGAGTGGAGGCCCGAACCCCATTCGCTAGGGGACGGCTAGTGGTCAGAGACACACTCCAAGAGTACCAGAGGATTTCTCTAGTGGGTGCCGAGGCCGCTCACTGGCCTCGGTGGCTCGATGCCTCCCTCACGGTGGGATCCCATTCAGAGACCTTCCCCCGGTCTCGGACACTTCTTTGGGCGCCCCAAGCGTTTCGCTTGCTTGGGTCTCGCCTCAGATAGGCTCACCATGGTGGTCGTCCCTCGACTTTGTTATCCTAGGGCGGGCTGTCGAAACCTCTTGGGGCCTAGATTGAACCCGTGGACCATAATAGGCTCAGAGCTCGGTTCCTTCATATGAAAGGAATAGGCCGTGGGGAATATCTTTCCTATTGGCTCTTCGGCCACGGGTGGCGCGCTTTTGAGGCGGCTTCCTAGGGAGGCAAAACGACGCTCACGCCAGAGTGGGGGCGAGCGTGATGTGGTGGATGGGACGAATCGTTCTCGCATTTAATGAGGGAGACGTATGTGTGGGCCGACAAAAATCGGCTCGTGGTTAACTCACGCCGGATCGGGGAAACTTCCCGATTTCATCGTTCGCTCGTTTCGCCTCCTCCTGCATAAATACCCAAAGAGTCCGCCCTCCTCGTCTTTACCTTACACCGTGCATTAGCTTTGCCTCCATCGAGCTGTCGCTAGAGCAAAGTCTTGCGGGAAGAAGAGGGAGAAGAGCGAGCCTAGGGAGAAAGCGAGGAAAAAGCAAGAGCGTGGGAGAGAGAGAAAAAACTCACCGCCGCACTGATTCCTCCATCGCACCCATGGCCGGCGACATCGTTGTTGTTGTCGAGGCGGACCCCAGGATCCCGCCGGATGTCACCGAGGAGATGCTTGAGCCGCTTGTCGACGGCGGACTCCTTCGCCAAATGATGACCCCCACCAGCCGAGTGGATTGCTCAAGACGGCGAGCCGAGAGCCAAGGCCCCGTGATGGCTACGTCGTAAGCTTTGTCTC